GCAAGGTAACGCAAAAGTATTGTGAGGGAACGCAAAGGTATTGCGTTGGAACACATAGGTATTGCGTTGGAATGCAAAGGTATTGCGAGGGAACGCAAAGGTATTGCGAGGGAACGCAAAGGTATTGCGTTGGAACACATAGGTATTGCGTTGGAATGCAAAGGTATTGCGAGGGAACGCAAAGGTATTGCGTTGGAACACATAGGTATTGCGTTGGAATGCAAAAGTATTGTGAGGGAACGCAAAGGCACTGCATGGGAACGCAAAGGTATTGCGTTGGAACACATAGGTATTGCGTTGTAACGCAAAGGTATTGCGAGGGAACCCAAAGGTATTGCAAGGTAACGCAAAAGTATTGTGAGGGAATGCAAAGGTACTGCGTGGGAATGCAAAAGTATTGTGAGGGAACGCAAAGGCACTGCATGAGAACGCAAAGGTATTGCGTTGGAACACATAGGTATTGCGTTGGAATGCAAAAGTATTGTGAGGGAACGCAAAGGCACTGCATGAGAACGCAAAGGTATTGCGTTGGAACACATAGGTATTGCGTTGGAATGCAAAGGTATTGCGTGGGAAAGCACAAGTATTGTGAGGGAACGCAAAGGTATTGTGAGGGAACGCAAAGGTATTGTGAGGGAACGCAAAGGTATTGTGAGGGAACGCAAAGGCACTGCATGGGAACGCAAAGGTATTGCGTTGGAACACAAAGGTATTGCGTTGGAACACAAAGGTATTGCGTGGGAACACAAAAGTCCTGCGAGGGAACGCAAAGGCACTGCCTGGGAATGTAAAAGTATTGCGTGGGAACACAAAGGAATTGCGTGGGAACGTAAAAGTATTGRGTGGGAACACAAAGGTATTGCGTGGGAAAGCAAAAGGGAAAAAATCCCCCATGTCTCCTCACAGGCTCCGTACTGACACAACTAATCTGGTAGATAAACTGGTAAATATTTCTGTACAGGAAGCAGAATGTGTACCTTCTTCATCTGACTGATGAGTAAATTTGTGTCAAATCTCCTTTCTAATAGAATCGTGTTTCCTGTTCTGCTCTTTCCTGAACATTTTTGTCCAATAAGTACAATCCTGATGTCAGTGATCGGCTGCCTCTTGTCTGTAAAATAAAAAAGGAAAAAAAAGGAAAATAAACTTTAAAAACCGTAAAAAAAAATTTGATCATATGGCGAATCATGTTTTACGTGTAACTTACCTTCACTCAGCTCTTTCAGAACTCTTGACTGTCTCTCTCTTATCTTCTTCATCCTTTTGGTCTTCTTGTCTCCTGCTTCTTTCTTGGCTTCTATTTCTGCAGCCCGGCTCAGCTCCACTTCATAATAAGCATGTTTATTTCCTGTCCACATCTCTTCAATCTTCTCCAGGAGCTCCTTTACCTGAGTCTCACCACTGTGGTCCTTGTTCAGGACATGATATCTGTTCTCACACTTGTTCACAATCCACTGCAGACCTTCCTCACTCTCTATACGCTCCTCCACAGTCTTCAGTCCGAGCCAGTCTCCTCTGGTGAACAGAACAATTGTGTGTTTCCAGATTTCTTCTCTGAACAGACTCATGTGTTCCTGAACAGATCTCAGATATGCTGCATTAACTGCAGTTGACAGTTTAATTACAAGCAGCACAGCATGTGGTCCTGGGGGGCACAGATACATGCTGTTCTCTATTTCTAGTTTGTCCATCTGACAGGTGTCCTGAAGGCTGTGACTGTAGAGCCATCCAGGAGAATCGACCACCGTCAGTCTCCTGTCTGCGACCAAACTGTGACTGATTTCACTTTGTGTCGTTCTTCTGCCACCATTATTTACATCAAATGCAGTTTTTCCCAGGATGGTGTTGCCTGCAGAGCTTTTAAATGACCAGTGGCAACCAAATAACACCAGTCTCAAGTGTTCTGGTGGGACTCATCCACCTGCAAAAGAATAAAACAACAGTTTTAAAAACAACATTTAACTTGAAGGGATCCACGATTAGTTGTAACATTAAACTTTATTTGATAAACATTTATTTTAACTGTAAAATAAAGAC